CTTAATTATATGTTCGAACATTTTGTAGGGCTACAAAGGTGTGGAAAGAGTTGTAGATTGAGATGGATAAATTACTTGAGGCCGGATTTGAGAAGGGGTTCTTTTACTGAACAAGAAGAAAGAACCATAATTGATGTTCATAGAATCTTGGGAAATAGATGGGCACAAATAGCCAAACATTTACCTGGTAGAACTGATAATGAAGTCAAGAATTTCTGGAATTCTTGCATTAAAAAGAAGCTTATTGCTCAAGGGTTAGATCCAAATACTCACAATCTCCTTATTAAGAACAAAACCAACAATTCAACCAAAGCCAAAACTCATCATCATCAAGATTCCACCTCAGTTTTCACCATTGATGCTTCAACAAATAAAGAAGTAATTTCAATGGATCACATAAAAGCAACTCTTGCATCCTTCTCTCCTTTCCCTCATAGCAATAATAATACTACTTCTACTACATGCAATTACACACCTATTGTTCCTAACATTGAATACCAAAACCCTACTTTCATATGGAGTGATCAGAGAAATCAGACTGTAACAACTACGTCTCAGTTCCAAACAAGTGACATAAATCACGCCATTACTCAAAATTCCATGTTGGATTTCGCGAGTTGTTCTTTAATGGAAAGCTCTACGAATATACGACAAGGGGAAACGGAGTATATAAATGAGAATAGCATGTGGCATGGAACTGGTCTTGAACCAACAACCTTAAATCCTGCCAATGGAACTGAAGAATTAATGCAAGTACAACAAGAGGAACAATTTCCAATTCAGACAAAGTTTTGTGATCAAGAGGATGTTTACAAGGTTAATCATGATCAAACGGTGGAGAATACGTTTGATAGCTCTAACTTTGATTTTGATTTTGTGGATTCTACACTGGTGCCTTGTGGATTGTATACTAGTGTTAATTCTATGGATCAAATTTCATGGGATTGTTAGTTAACTTCTAAAGATTTTTTAGTTGCAATTTATCTTTATTAGTATTCTGCTGCATTATCTTGTTGGAACAGCAGATATGCAAATATAAACTAGGAAAAAGAAAATGGTGGTAGTCATATTTAGGCACCATCCTTTTTTCGAAATATAATGAGCTACAAGTCAAAAAAGAAATGATTATTTGAAAAGATTGTTTTGTGAAAATGAAAAATAATAATTATAATTTCTCTAATGTGACTATTGTCATGATTCCTTGCTATTAGTGGTGAAAATGAAAAACAATAAGCATTCAATAATTCTAGAAGGCTGGTTATATTATACATTGATTTGATTCAATCTAGCTTTTATTTATTTCGTTTTCACTGTTAGAATATACTATAAGCCATGCGTATTGTTATAGTATTCTTTATGAACAGTTATTTATTTACTTGTTTAAATTCAATAAAGTTTCATTTTAAATAGATCATGTGTTGGTTTGTGCGTCCATTGCTTACATAGTAGATGATTTAGTGTATAGAGTTTAACTTATACACGGAAGATTAAATCATCGGTTCTTGTAAGACATAAAAGTTAATGTTCACAATCTAATGATGGAATTGGACAAATCATCGGAATGATTGTAGCACAAGATTAAATATAATTTATCTTGATTATGGGAATGGTTTAATTCCAACTTCTTGTGCTAGTACATTTTGTATGTATTGAACGGATCAAGTAGAGATGAGTATTTTATACTGACTTTATAAAATAATTTCTCTAGTCCATTTAATGTACTTATACTCTTAATCCTGATATAATTATTATTAGCTGTGTATGTCACTTGTTGTTTTGATTTATTAAAAGGCGAGATTCTTTCGCGAGTCAATAAGCCTGGTAAATTGGATAACAATGATATACATTGGCGAAGTAATAATTAGTTGATGGAATCCATGTCTCGATTTTGAGATTGATGATACTCCTTTATGAAAGCTTATAAGTTTTCATGTGTAAACCCGGCCGGTGGATTTTGTATCCGACACATGAAATAAGTTAAGTGTAAGTCTAAAGGAAGTAATCAATAAATTAAATAGTCAGTAATTTAATTTGATTGATTAGTATCTGAATCTTAACATGGGGAGTTAAATAAGGTTTTATGGAAGAATTTCGAAATTGAACTAAGGAGTGCAATTACGAATTTTTAGTGGAATAATTCGTAATTTATTATGATGGAAATTAGTTTCAGAATTTCGAAATTAATATCATAATAGGAAGCCTTGTTAATTAAATTCTGTGGTCCCTACTGTGCCTAAATAATAGAAAATAGTGGAAACTGTTACTTAGTGGGAAAGAAAACGTGGAAACCGTCCCTTAGTGGGAGAAGGAAACCTAACAGGTTTTGAAAACGGTTTTGACCTAAAAAACGCAGCTATATATATGGATATAAGGGCTGGACATTTTTTACATGATTCTAACTGCGGTTTCTACTAGAATTTTGCCCACCCAAAATTCTCTATTTTCGGTTATTGTTTGGGTAACACAGTAGAAGACTGTGGAAATCTGCTAGTGTGTTTTCAAATGAGGAACTGGAGAACGACCTAGATTTGTTGTGTTTACGCTTCAAAAGGTAATCCTAAAATCTCCATACGTGCTAGTTGTTTAAATTACACGTGAATAAGATTTTGTTATTGCTTCCGCTGTGATATATATTCCAACATTCACATCCTAATCGTATTATGAAGAGCACCGTTGACGTGAAAATAACGAGAGAAAAAATATTATTCTCGTATCTAGAGAAATGAAAGGTATTTTCCTTCTTTTATTTCTGCATATTACGCTTTTTGTTTCATTTTGGGCGCTGGTCATGTTTTTATTACAGGTAGACTATCTATCGTTTGGCAACCTAGAAAATGTAATAGATATATAAATTAAAGAGTTTAAGTTCTATGTATTAACGGAGGAAGAAATTATATCGGATGGACTCTTTTAAATTATTATTTATAGTTTGACCCGTTAAAATATTTTTGGTAAAATAGTCCCCGCTGCCAAAATTTTGAAGCCGTTGCCAGAATTTTGAAGCACGCTGCCAGAATTTACTTCATATATTATGGCAAATCCTAGTAATCGCCATATTAAAATTTCTGACGATTGTTATGTTTTGTGACAAATCCTAGTAATTACCATATGAAAAAATTTGGTGATTGCCATATTTTGGTGGTAAATCCTGATGATATTGGTGATAAATCCTGATGATTAGCATATCAATAATTCTGGTGATTGCAAATTTTGACAGTGGCTATTTTCCCAAGACTTTTCTTAACGAAATCAAAAATCAATAGTGGCATCAAAATATTTTATTTCTTCCATTCGCCCTAGATATTTACACAAAAGTCACCTACAAGGTAATTAAAATTACCTCTCTATAATAAGTATTAAGTTGCAACCCAATAAAAATGGCAACTAACCAATTATCACAAGGCAAACAAATAACTATATCAAATAGGGGTGCTTATCGGACGGATAATTACGCTTAACGATTCGGCTTATCGGTTATCGGATTATAAATATAGTAATCCGCTAGCCATCCAATAAGACAACATGCGGATTGATTTCAGATTAACGATTATCGGGCGGTTTATCGGCTAAACCTAATAAAACATTTTGGGTATAATATTTAAATGGATTCTTTTTTGTTGGTGGTTTTGTTGACTGACTTCCCGTACGCATTCTAACAAACCTGATGAGCTGGATAGAATTGAAAATTCGGGTGGGAAAGTTATAAATTGGAATGGACATCGAGTCCTATGAGTTCTTGCTACTTCAAGATCCATAGGAAAGTCTAAATATAGAATTCTTAACGGGTTAACGGTTTATCCGATAAGAAAATTGAGTAATTCGTTCCCAAACTGTTAAGCCATTAATTATAAAATCTCAATCCATTCACCGTCCATTACCCCAATAATCCGATACCAATAAACCAATATTGGTTCGATTCGGTTAACGATTTCGGTTCGATTTTGAACGGCCAAAGATTAATGTTTAATGATAGTATAGAATAATCTTTACACTACCAATGTGTAAATCTTATATCCATGACGAAAAAGTTCGGCTTCTGTGCACCGACAATGTACAATATTTGTTACACCCTCTGATTTAGAATAGATAACTATCTTTCGCAATCTTAATCTGGTAAAGAAAACAGTAACCTGTTCAAAAGCATAATGCATTAACATACAGCCTATTGGTAAATCATGTTCTCAAATGTAAGAAGCAAGAAACATCTAAATTCTAAGGATCAACATGTATATGAAAACTTCTTTAACCAATCCAGTCTTGGCGTAACTGGTAAAGTTGTTGCCATGTGACCAGAAGGTCACGGGTTCAAGCGAAACAGCCTCTTGCAGAAATGCAGGGAAGGCTGCGTACAATAGACCCCTGTCGTCCGACCTTTCCCGGACCATACGCATAGCAGGAGCTTAATGCACCAGGCTGCCTTTAATCTTCATCCAGGAAACTTGTCTCAACCCACATAGCAGGTTTATGTTTCATATTGCATTGCTCAGATCAACTTTGCTACTTTAGGAGACGGCTAAGTTGTCCAAATTGCGCGATTCAGAGGTGCAAAATCAGACTAGGAAAGAAGTGAAGGGGAAGGGGCACTGATGTGATCATAACTAGGGAAAATAATTTCATGGCGCTACAACATAACGAAATTTGAAGTGTAGACCAGATTTCAGCATTAGATTGTCAGTGAAACAATATAGGCTAACAAAAAAACGGCAGCCCAGTACACAAGACATCCGACGTTCATGCAAGATCAGGGGAAGGGCCACACTCACGGAGTGTGATGTAGACTATCTAGCCTAATGCAAACATTAGTGGTTGCTTCCACGGCTCGAACCGTGACCCTCCAAGACTCCCTTCGTAAACAAAACACTTCTCTACCAATATATATAACCTTTACATATATATCTGCTGTCAATACCGAGCTGATAGAAAATGGAATGCCAGATCATCAAAAATATATGCAGTGTGCTAGCCAAAACATCTTTTCCCTATCAATTCACTCTATTTGATGCGATCCAAAAGAAAGTCTTTTTATGTTTAAGAAATTTGAGCTTTATAACATATAATGATCCAAAGAGTCATAGGAAACTATGAATAATCTCATTATTAGGAACACATTTTGCAAGACATTCAAATATGATTATTGCAAAGTGTTATTCGCCGATACAAAGATCAATGTACTGCAACCTTACAAAGAGGAAAACAACTTGACCCTTCATAAGCTGCTGTCACAACATATTCTTTGGAAACCACCGATGGTATTAATCTTCATCGTCATCTGCAACAAAAGTTCGAGTGAAGAGATTAGAAATAACGAAAAACAAGAGCCTAAAAAAACTAGCAACGGAGAACACACAACATAAGGGAAAGCCACGCCAACAGAAAAATAGAATCCAGAAGAGCAACTTTCAGACTGCCCACGCCTTAAAGCATACCAACGCGAACATGAAGCAAAAACTTGATCCTATTTCATGGTTGAACATAAGGGAAAATTGGATCATTTCTCCGTCAGTTTTGTTGACCTTCGGAATTGTATTATGCTTCTACTATTCTTTTTTTTTCTTTGATAAAGTAAAAATTGGATTTTGAACATTTTGATAAGCGATAGGCTTATGTCTACAATGTTCACACTCCGTCGAATGAAAAATGGAGAACATATCAACTGCGCTAATTTCTTCTTGCTTTCGTTAGTTATGACAATAGAGGGGCTTTTTATCAGCAACACCGATCACAATACTTTTTATTGCCTGATGCTTATACTGCTATTTGAACCGCAAACTGATAGAACAAACACCTCCATACAAGTGATTTGTTAACATATTAATAGCAAGTACCAGTATTTGGATAGCATTTGAACCCAGGATCTCATAATCTCAGAGACTAAACCCGAATCATTAGGCTACACTTCAATGCTCAACAGGGAAGAACATCAAGGCATCAGAATTCCACAGCTGTAGCTCGCTATATTTGAACCCATGTCACCTTCAGAAAAAATTGAGTTTATTCACCTAAAAACCCTAGATTTCCTTGAGGCCAGAATAAATGGCAAATTACTTACAGTTTTATAAGTCTAACCATAAAAATTAGGATTTCTTATGACATGCTTCCTAGTGTCTCATTTTTCTGAATTTTACACCATGTCCTTTTATTACTTTTACTACTTCCTATATCCCATTTTATGTGGCACACTTTCCTTTTTAGCTTATCCAAAAAAGATTCACATTTCTATATTTAGAAACAATTTAACTTAAACTTCTCATTTTACCCTTAATGAGATGATTTATAGTCATACAAATGTTCATGACTTGTTGTAGAACACAAATTTCAAAAGTCCTTCTTTCTTTCTTTAACTTTGTGCTCGTCAAATGTCATCACGTAAATTGGGACAGAGGCGTATTTGATATCTAGCGTTTTAACTTTTTTTGTCTTGCCTTCGTCCTCCCTCCTTCCCTTTTCGGACCATCAAATTTTTCAAGTTTGTACTAAAAAGATGTTTTGATCATGCGGTTAAAAATAATGATATACAAGTTTAGAGTTTGTTTTACTATAGCTTCCCTGACTAATAGCATAATGGTAAAAGGAAGAAAATAACATGAACACTTCCCACTCCACCTAATTTGGCAAAGAATTCACGGCGATCTAAGTGGTCTCCGGTCATAAGACCTGCTCGATAATGGAGCCACAGGTCTGCCCCTCGGAGCCACAGCCATAACCGGTCGCCTATCCCTCATTGCGGCAGGTCGTTTGAAACTACGATCAGCAAGGGGAGGGACACGTGTACTAAATCTAGATCCACGAACAGGGAGTCTATGTGGGAATGAAGCGTTGAAGCGTGGGGGAGACCTAGGTTTTGGGGTGTTGATAAGATGTTTCTATTGTTTAAATATAGTACTATGCCAGATTGTCAGTAGAATGGTTGGAAAGGAAAGCATCATTAAAATATTATAAGAACCTCATGTATTTTCGAAGAATTTTGTTTTAGAGCACGGGAGGTAGGCCTTACCTTCTCTTCCCTCCAATTAACCTTCCGAACATTCCAAGCCCATACCAAAGTTTCTCCTCCATCTTTCACCTCCCCGCAAACCTAACCTCGCTGACCAGTTTTCACTCGATAATCCAACTTGTGATCTTCTAAACTATATTGCTTGAACTCTCCAAAAATGGTGTCGCACTCGTGTCAGATCCTCAAAAAATGCACTACTTTTGGAAGATTTGACATGCATCCGGCAGCATTTTTGAAGAGCCCGAGCAACATAGCTTCTAAAAACCAGTTGCTTTCCCTCACCAATGGATAGAAGAAAACCTTTTTATAGTTGAGCATAAGTTTTTTGAGATCAAAGAAAAGCCATGATGTCTGATATGACTGGATTAAGAGTAAGCTGGATTTTGTATGCTGGAATTGTTGCTCTATACTAATCATGTTACAAAGTTGCCAGATAACGATTGTTGCTTCTGAAAAACCTGGTGATGTCAATAGCAGATTGGTGAGGAAGGAGAAATCTCGATAAGTCATGGTTCTTCAGAACTTCTATAGATTCAACAAATACTTGAGAATTGTCACCATGCAGAGAGCCAGAGACAAAGGAAAAGGTTCAGAATTCTCCCTGAGTTCTCACTGTATGCTGGATGGTCAGACATAGCAGCCAAAGAATGGAGGTTTGTTGTAAAAAGACAATTCCCAACTCCAGTCCAACACTTCAACAGCCTTTCAAGAGCCACATAAGTGTTGTCAAGGGTCTCAGTTGGCCAGTAGAGCATATTCAATGCAAGTTGGATCAGAATGGATTTAATAGATTGTTGATAAATGCAGAAACAACAAAATCCAAAGTTGCTACTCTTATAAGATGCCTAGTGGAACAGCTGCACTGTGAGGACTTTAAGGTTTCCCCCGAACTGCAAAAGTGGACATCCAATACATGCGGTATTTCGGATCTTAGCCATGTGTTGATTTTATTATAATTCCACTCGGTGGAGGAGGCAACTAGAGCCAAAATGGCTACGTGGTTTTGGAATTGCCTTGAGTTGCAGCTCAGATGGTGTTCCCCTGATGCGTCAAAGAACCCAAAAACTACTTGGGCTGGATCACATGGATTTCTCTCCAACTATGGTCCACCTATATTTTTCAGTTGGTCGGAGAAAAGTTTGGTGGACTGGTAGAAACTGATTTGGATACGAAAGAGAGCCACAACTCGGGTTACATTGTGGGTGAAACTCGTAAGATCCCTAAGGAAATCGAAATTGCTATTGAAGAAGTTTTGCACTCTATGCATGTATGAGTATGACTGGAAAAATCTACTCTCCTGCATAAGAAGGAACTTGTAGGATATGAACTAACACAGTTGGAAGGTAATGAGTACTTATATGCCACCGGAAATGGACCCACTTGGGTCTGTCTCTTTAGGCAAAAGGGCTACTATCAGCTCTAATTCAAATTGTGAGAATGGGTTGGGCTTGATGTTGTTTTCCCTCTTTTGACTGAGCCTAATCAATTACCTTCAGAATAACACCATCCAGCCAGTTACCCTCAGAAATAAACCTAACGCCCAAGCTCAAACCTACCGGTTGTATAAATACCACATTTAAACCAAACAGCACCTAAGGCCATATAGCATAAACCACACATTATGTAGGTGAAAACAAAATATAATTAAGCATAACCCTTAAAGTGTTTCTTTTCGTAGCCTAGTCTATGATGATGAAGACATGCCGTGTAATAAAAGAAATATGAATAGCATATGCAAGCTATATCTCCTGAGAATTTTAGTCTGATCTAATTCTAAATTCATTAATCTTGGTTCTGTTATTCAACTACTTAATATTTTTTTTTTTGTTTTACTTCAACAATGGTAGCAACAGTTTAACTGTTTTGGGAACAGAAGCTATTTAAAGGTGGCGCATTGCAGAGACAACCGCCTGCGTATTACTAGGTTTCAAAGCATGTGCAGGTGCAAAACTTGTGGCAAAGGATGAAAGAGATGCAACCGAGATTGATCATCCCTTTTGCCATGAGTATTGGTATACTAGTTTTGCCTGAAAAGAATTTCTAGAAGATAGAAAGTCGATCAGTAGAAGTAGCAAGGGAGCAATAGAGACAAAAGGCCCAGTTAACTGCAACCATGTATGGCTGAACTGAGCAAAGACTATTTCTTTTTTGATAATCGAGAAATCCCCTAGAACCAAAGGCTCATGGTTTGACACTCAGTGGATAATGAGTCCACCCCTTTACCTTTCTCCACTTAATTACCAGACTTTTGTCTGCGGCAGGGTTCGAATCAATTACGTGCATCTAACCCACACAGAGCAAAGATTAATTTTGGTATACCTTTCTTCCCGTATCTTTTCTTGGTTCCTTAACTTACTTTAAGGTGCAATAGTCATCTAAGGGGCAAATTATACATACTTCCATATTAGGGCTGTCAATCAAAATGCATAACGAGTTTTGGAGGCTAGTTTTGGTACTATTAGAGCTCAACTTAATCTCACAGTACACACATCAGCTTTAAGATCAGGTCAATAATCCTTGTAAAGATTACCAACCATATGACGATTTGGAAAGCCTCAAATTAACAACAAGATCCATTAACCTCCAAGAATTAGATACTTGCAACCCAACAGTAAACTAGGTTATTATATCTTTTTCATGACATTTAATATAAATAGATAAGATAGACTCAAAACAATAGGATTCTTTCAAAAGAAAGGATGCCAATTGGCAGCAATATCCAATATCCTAGAAGACAGCTTTTCTAAAGTTCAAAACAGGTGATCGACTATATTAAAGACATCCCTAAAATTTGCAGGCATATAATCAGAAAAGGTTCCCACGTCCTAAAACTTTGTGTGCAACCTCGCCTATTCCAACGCTTCCCAGTCTGATCGGTCGAGCTCTCGTACTCGATTGCTCATATGTCCATTTCGTTCTGGCTAGCGCTCATCTCCCAGCTCTGTTTCCAACCTTTCATTTAATATANATTTCTCGATTCACTCAAAGAGGTGAATAGGGTCCCAATAGAGATATGTAAAAAGCAGGTCTGATTACGCGTATTCCTAATCCTAAATGGAATGTAATGATGTAGGAATTCATATGTAAACATAGTATCTATTTAGATAGGCCCTAATGACCCCTTCTCATAATGAGAATGTATATAACCCTGTTCCGGCCTGGTCCGATATGGAATGAACTTATAATCATGGAATCAAGTACCTGCTACCTCCCACCAAAACAAGCACCAAATAGCTCTGCCCACCAAGGCTTAGCTAGATCAGAAGAAGTCTTTTAACACATTACCCATCTCACAGATACATACTTCAACAAATTTTAAGGAAAAAGTTCAAGTTTTAGCACTTTTAGAGTTTCAATAGCTTCATGGCCCTCATCCAAATCATGTAACTCTCTTAAGTGATTGCATAGTTGCCAATAGATAAAAAAAAAAAAAGACATAGAATAAAGTGTACTTGAAAAAGATAAAATCTTTTTTCAACTCACACATACACCCTTCAACAATTTTAACTTTTAAAGAAAAGATTCAAACTTTAGCATACTTTCAGTAGTGCAACTTCATCTAAGCACATCCCACGTCAATTTCAAATCTTGCACCTTTCCTAGGTGATTGCATAGTTACACAAATACAGCGAAGGGTACTACCCAAGAAAATGGTCCTGAAGTCAACACAAAATTTTCTTGATATAAAACTTACCAAAATAACGACACTCATTAGCAAGCCTAGCCGTCACTAAATTTAAGGAAAAGAGGCAAATCTGTTGAACCAGTACCCCAAGGAAGGATTTTCTCACATTACCCTCTCACATGTATATCCTACAATAAATTTTAAGGAAAAGACTCAAAAAAATTTGATAATCAAGAAATCCCGTGTGATGGTTCGAAACTCAGTGGATCCCTATCTTCTACCCTCCCCCACTTAAATACCGGACTTTTGTCTGCAGCAAGGTTCAAACCAATAACGTGCACACATCTTACCACTAGAACAAAGCACCGGGGGAAGCAAAGATTCAATTTTTAGCAAATTTCAGCAGCAGAACTTATCTAAGCACATCCCCAGTTGTCAATTTCAAATATTGCATCTATTTTAAGTAATTGCATACTTACCAATAAATAAATAAATAAAAAAAAACAAATAAAGGGTACTAAAAAATCTGATTCAACAAAAGAATTTCTTAAAATGAAACGTACCAAAATAACGGCGTTCATTAGCAAGCCTAGCTTTCTCAAGCAACTTATCAAGATCTTCATTACTCTTAGCTTCCCATTTCACCATCTGATTAGCAGCCACTGCTCCTATTCCCATACCCAACAAATGCTCCCACGGATCTACAAAATATCAAAACAAAAAATAAAAGTCAGAACCAAATTTCAAAAACTTTTATTTAAAACTTAAAAAAAAAAATGGGTAATGCTCAAGAATACTTACGGCGCATGTAAGGAAGTTTGCGGAGGGCATTAGAGTACATTTGGGTGCCTAATCCCAAAAGGGCTCCAACCATTGTTGCACTCAACGGCATCCTTTTTTCTTCGTTGTTTGTTCTCTGTTGATTTGAGGATGGTCTGTTGTTGTTTTGTTCGAAGAAATGGTCAGTCAGCGGCAGGAGGAGGTATGAGTAGTGAAACTCCACTGCCCTTTCAATACTATCGGATTCTACTAATTCGGGTTTGGGCTGCTCTTACGTTCCGTTTTACTTTAAAGCCTTTTTCTAAATAAAAATAATTAAATTTATAGGTGGAAAGTTTCATATATACACAGCAATTTGAAAGTAATATTTACTAATTTACAAGTGCCTACTCAAATTTTTCTTTTTTAAAGTGTGCCTAGTCTGATAATCCTATTTAATAGTTTTTTTTTTTTAGTGCGTGTGATTCAAATTCTCTGAAAACATCGTGACAAAGCTATCTATAAAATTTTAGGAAAATTAGAGGTAATCTGGACTGGCCTAGAATAGAAATTCATATTTGAAATTAACCTAAAAAATATGCAATAATATATATCACATGTATATTTCTGTATATAACTCCCTCTGTCTTAATTTATATGACATTATTTGGCTAGACATAAAGTTTAAAAAGGAAATAAGATTTTTGAAACTTGTAGTCTAAAATAAGTTTTACATTTACGTGATTGTGAATCATCTATTAAGAGTAAAAGGATAATAAAAATAAATTATTTCTAGATATAACAATATGACATACTTTTTGGGACAAACTAAAAAGAAAAGTGTTCCTCATAAATTAGGATATATAGCAACATATATTACACATCAATTTTGATGGATATCAATTATCACACACACATTAACTATTTCCAGAGGCCCGTCTATCTAAGCCTATAGTTTATTTTAGGGGTGTCAAATGAGCAGGTTGGGTCAATTTTGGGCGGGTCAAAATGGGTTGAGTCATTTGACCCGCCCAAAAGTTACTTGGGATAAGATGGGTTGGGTCAAGATGGGTTAAAATTCGCGTCATAACCCAACCCGCTCAACTGTTATTAAACTTTAATTAATATGTGTTATTTTCTTATAAATTATATAATTACTAAATAAGACTTTTTTGCTTTTGTTATGGTCATATTTAAAAATATTAAACAAAAAATAAAATTATTTATAAGATATTTTGACAAACTTACTCATGGATCAATTTGGGCTAAAAATTAGTCTAACTTTAATTGGGCTGAGATGGGTTGGGTCAAGATGGACTAAGTTCAATAAATGGGCGGGTCAATAACCAACCCAACCTTGGGCGGGTTGGGCGGGTAATTTGGGCTTGGGCCAAATTTGACAGCCCNAACATTGGGCGGGTTGGGCGGGTCATTTGGGCTTGGGCCAAATTTGGCAGCCCTAGTTTATTTCAATAAACTAACTATGAAAAAATAACCTAAATAGTTGTCCACTTAATCTCTTAAACTAAAAGTAATCGGCGATAAAAATATTTAATAGAAGGCGATACATTTATACAAAAATTCTACTCTGAGCACACACAATGGAACTGTAGACAGTCAAGTGAAATCCAATCCATGAAATAATTTGATCTATGGAAAGCATCGTTGTAGTAAAGGTCGTAATGCCAGAGAAATCATTACCGCAAGGCATAGAGGGGGAGATCATAAGCGTCTATACCATTAAATTGATTTTTGACGAAATGAAAAAGATATATCGTAGAATCATAACCATAAAATACGACTCTAATCGAAATACATACATTTGTCTCATACACTAAGGGGATAGTGAGAAGAGATTACATCCCGGGGGGCTATAATTTTATAGTATAAATCTGGATGGCTATATGTCTCTTTATTATATATTTGACAGAAATAAGAAAACAACTTACTTTTGACAGCTTAAAAGAATAAAACTATCCAGACATATATTTAAGGTATTACTTTGAATTGCCCCAAAACCTAAGTGACTATTTTTTTTATCTTCTAAAATATACCCCTTATTTTAATTATATTCTACTTCCCTTTTATAGATAAATTAAAGATTCCTCTACATCGAACCACAAAATGCAGAGACCATAGTGATAACATCCATAGCTAGAAGCTTCAACTATGAGGATGAATGGGGAAGAAGACGAGAGAAGTTTAGAGAAAGAAATTATGAGAGAAGTGAAAGACTTTCATTATCTTCTTCTAAGAAATGAAATGTATCTGCACATAGTATATTTATACCTTGTTACCTCCTACAGTGTTAACTATCTTTCTATAGTGTTAACCGCCTAACTAATTAATCAACTAAAAAAGAAATAATAACTTAACATTACATGAGTTCTACAGCCACAACTTGCACTAGCTAACTACTCGTCTACATTCCCGCTCAAGCTGATGGCTTGAACAAGTTCTTCGTCCTAAGATTCTTCAGTAGATAATCATGTTGCACCTTACCTAACTTGTTAGTTAACAAATCAGCTAGTTGTTCTTTGGTAGTTACATGCTCATTTCTCATCACTCTTTGTAGGGTCCTTTCCCTCACAATGTGGCAATCTATGTCTATGTGTTTAGTCCTCTCGTGAAAGATTGGGTTGACAATAATTTGAATAGTTGTCTTGTTGTCACACAAGAGATCAACATTTAGTTCTAACTTCACGCCAAGTTCTTCAAACAACCCTGTCAACTAGGTCACTTCAGTAGCACAGGTGGCCATGCTTATGAACTCAGCTTCTGTTAAACTCCTGGAGATAGTCTCCTGTTTCTTATACTTTTATGACACTACGGCATTCCCAAATCTGACTAAGTAGCCAGTGATTGATCTTCTTGTTTGTAGGAAATCTCCCCAATCTGAGTCACAATAGGTTGTCAGTTTATTTGTGTTGTCAACAGGCATCAGAAGGCCAAGCTCAGGATTAGCTTTGATGTACCTTACCACTCTGAGAGCAACGTCCATGTGTAATACCTTTGGATAATGCATAAATTGACTGAGAACTTGCACTACAAAAGATAGGTCAGGTAAGGTCTGGTCATGGTGAGATATAATAGTCTTCCAACCAACCTTTGGAAGCTACTAGGATCCTTTAACACCTCATCTTCATCATTAGTTTTATCCCAACTGTCATACTCTACCGAAGTTAGTTTCTGATTCATTTCAAGAGGGGTTCTAGCAGGTTTTGCTCCACCTAGGCCAGATTCAGAGATTAGTTTCATGACATACTTCCTCTGATTCATTATTATGCCTTCCTTAGACCTCGCAAACTCAATCCCCAGAAAGAACTTTAACTCACCAAGATCTTTCATCTCTAACTTGGTTTGCATATCATTTTTATCTCATTTAGTTGATTAGGATTGGTCCCAGTGATTAGTAAATTATCTACATACACTAGGACTACCACAATATCATCATATGTTCTTCTAGTGAACATAGAGTAGTCAAAGTGCCTCTGCTTGAATCCCATCTTCACCGGGGCTTCAATTAGTTTCATGTTCCACTGCCATAGGGCATGTTTAAGGCCATATAGTTATTTGTGCAATTTGCAGACCTTTGTCTCCCCATGACTGCAAAAACCTTCAGGGATATGCATGTAAATCTTCAAGGAGATTACCATTGAGGAATATATTATGTATATCCATATGGTAGATCAACCAATGTTTAGCGGCAGTCAAAGCAATGATGGACCTGACAGTCACAATCTTTAGCAACATGTGAGAAATTTTCAGTGTAATTTAGACATTCTTTCTAGCTACCACTAACCTAGCTTTATATATTTCAACCTCTCCTGAAGCTCTATATTTAACTTTGAATATCCACTTGCAGCCAATGAGGGTCTTATCAAATGGCAAGTCCACAATGGTCCAAGTGTTATTATCTTCAAGTGCTGCAACTTCCTGCTTCATTGGCTGCACCCATTTAGGATCACAGACAACCTCTCTAAAAGTTTTAGGTTCAGATATAGCTGAGTGAAGAGACAACGTTTGCTGATAAGGTGGCTTCAAATGTGAGTAAACGACATATGAGGAGATAAGATATGCACGCGAGTTGCCAACTGATTTCGTGACATAATCTTGCAGCCACACTGGTGATTTTCTTGGTCTGCTAGATCTCCTAAGCTCTATGGAGTTAGATGGTTCAGGTAAAGAATTGGCTATTTCAAGTGATTTATGCATGAGCTTAGGCTTTAGGAAAGTAAGAAGATGGTGAAATATCCCCCTCAGTTGAATCATCTATAGGATTGGACTGAGTAGTGAGAGTTTGAGATATCTCTACAGTAGATTCATCTGATGGTAGTAAGTCCATAACTAGGAATATAGGTGTGCCTGCAAACTTCAGCTGTTTAAAAGGAAATGAATCATCTTTGAAAACCACATTTTTGCTTACTAAGAGAGTCTTGTTCTGGAGATCATATAGTTTGTATCCCTTTTGTATAGGAGAATAACCCAAAAGTACTGTTGGGATGGCTTTGGAAACAAACTTATCCATACACTTAGGGACAATTGCATAACAAAGACAACCAAATACTTTGAGATGACTCAAAGAGGGAGCATGCAAATAAAGTAGCTCAAATGGTGATTTGAAGTTGATGACTCTATATGACAGCTTGTTCAGTAGATAGACAGTAGTGTTAACACATTCACCCCAAAATCTAAGGGGAATGCCTGCCTTGAACCTCAGTGCTCTGGCTATTTCAAGGATAGTTCTGTGTTTCCTTTCTATTACTCCATTATGTCAGGGAGTGTACACACTTATGCTTTGGTGTTCAGTACTAAAAATGGACAGACATTTCTAGAAGTCAGTGCTAAAAAACTCACTACCATTGTCTGTTCTGAGTATCTTAACACAAGCACTTAATATGTTTTTAATCTTAGCGAAAAATTCCTTGAGAACTACAGTAGTATCAGACTTTGAGTGCATAAAAAAAGGTCCAAGTGAACCTAGTGTAATCATCTACTACTGTGACAAAATCTTTTTCCATCACATGTAGGGACTCTGTAAGGTCCCTATATATCACAATGCAGTAAATCAAAAGTAGACGCCGGTACAGTATTACTTAGCTGAAAAGGCAACTTTCCTTGTTTTGTTTCTGGACAAATAGTACAATATTGATGAGTATCACATTTTAAATGTCTAAGCAACTCATGCTTTTTTATTACTTCTGATGGTACATGACCTAGTCTCTTATGCTATATGCTACTAGAATATGATATATCAAACATGTGAGCATGACTAGTCTTATTCATAGAACATGTACTAGTGTAATTATTCACCAGCTGTCTAGAATCCTGACATGAGGCCTTCACCTTCTTCTCCTACAACACATAAAGTTTATGTTTCTCACTACTAATCCCCTTCACTTGTCTATTGAAGAGGTTATGGAAGATTCAGAAGTCAGGAAATTACATTACCATGTATTTTCAGTTCTTTAGTGAGTTTAGATATTGTGAGAAGATTGAACTTAAACTCAGGTATGTATAACACATTAGATATGTCTTGGTTCTTAAATATAGAAGTCAATCCTCTATGTGTGACTGACACTACATTTCTTATGGGTAGATGCACTTTGCTCATGTCTGATTTTGGTACTAATCTACATGTCTTTAATATTTGTAAGCTAAAGGCCATATGGTTAGAGGCACCTGTGTCCACAATCCACTCTCTATTACTATAGATAGACATAAGATCTGCTTCTGTATCTGCAACTACTGACTTGATTGAGGATCTTTCATCTAATCCCCTTTTAAGCCTTTGTTTGATCTGCTAATACTGCTCTGGTGTGAAGAAAGATGCAGAAGTTTGTTGCTAAACTGCTGGGGTGCCATAGAAGTAAAACCTCCCCTTACATGTGGTTGTTGCCCAAGTTTTGCATCATTGTTGACTGCACTATTAACTCCACATGCTGCATCTCCTGTAAGAGGAGTCATCCAGCCAGCTTGTTTTGCATTGCAGTTAGCAGTTCCAATTGTTCCTCCCCTCCTTTTGGACTTGAAATCTGGTGGATATCCAACTAACTTATAGTAGTTTTCCTTAGTGTGGCCCCTCATATGATAGTAGTCACAAACAAGTATGTTTCTTTTGGGTCCAAGTTTGAAATTGGTACCAACATAGTTCCCTCCCCTATTGCTAAACAAGACAGTACTTTCTATTGACCCTGTGACCTGTGTGAAATTAGCAAGGTTTCTTCGGCTCTCTTGATCTATGATCATGAAGTATGCCTTGTTTACAGAAGGAATGTGATATATCATTGTGATCTGACTCCTAGCTTGACTGAAATATTCATTTAAACCTATTAGTAACTGTATTAATCTTTGATACTCAAAGTGCTCAAGGTACCTTTTTGACTCGGGATAGGGGCAACTGGGACATGTCATTATAGTATCAAACTCATCCCAAATATCTCTCAGTTTAGAGAAGTAGTCTGTTACCGTCATTGTGCCTTGAGTAAGAGAATGAATCTCTTTACGTAGGTATTGCACCCTAGCACCATTTACTTTGTCAAACCTTTTTTTCAAGTCCTCCCATAATTTGTGTGCATTTGAGGCATACAATACACTGCTCAATAGTCCTGGTTTTACAACATTCATGATCCAGGACAAAAGTACATCATTTACCTTCTCCCATTGATCATATAATTCCGGCTCAAACCTAGAAATAAGGAATCTACCATCAACAAAACATAGTTTGCTTTTACCTAACAATCCAATTCTCATAAATCTACTTAAAATGGCATAATTCTCAAATCCTGTTAACTGAAGTGAGATTAAGGAGTTACCTGGAATGTCTATTGGTTGTAGGTACAGAGAATGGTTATGATCAATTGTAGGGAAGACATTGCCATGAATGAGAACAATTGTGTTATCGGAAGTTCCTGTAGTAGGTCCAACTGGCGTAGTACTTGTTTCCTCGCCAATTGCCAAGGAAATTGTAGGTAAACTCAAAGAGATTACATAGTTACTCAGATTGCATAGACTTAGCTCAAATTGCAGAACCTTAGTTTCGAATTCAAAGCGAACAGAGACAATTAAACTCCAAAATTAAGTGGAATTGAAAATGTTCAGTGGCCGGAGACTCGCGACACATGCTCTGATGCTATGATAACATCCATAGCTGGAAGCTTCAGCTCTGGGGATGAACGGGGAAGAAGACAAGAGAAGATTCTGATAGAGTTGAAAGACTTCCATTATCTTCTTATAAGAAATGAAATGTATTTGTATGGAGTATATTTACACACTATTACCTCTTATAGTGTTAACTACCTTTCTACATTATTTACCGCCTAATTAATTAACCGTCTATACAAATAATAACAACTTAACATTACATAAGTTTTACAGCTACAACTTGCACTAGCTAACCACTCGTCTACACATAACCAATCTAGCTAGAATCCATTACCTGAACAATGTTCCTGTTTACAAGCCTCTTTGACCAAGATTCAAAAATCAACTTATTTTGAGAAATGTTTTTTTTTCAAAAGTTCTTTTAAAAAAATGCTTTTGGTAAGAAACTTTAGCTAATTAATTTGAAATGCAGTTTTTGAGCAGTAATTATTGTTTGGCCAAACTTTTGAAAACTACTTTGTGTATTTTTCTCAAAAGTGTTTCTCAGAAAAGTGTTTTCAGAGAGAAATTACTTTTTTCCGTTTCTCCTCAAAGTCACTTTTTTTTATTCTAAAGGCTTGGCCAAACACCTCAAATTTTGGCCAAAAACACTTTTGGTCCCCCCAAAAAAACTTGACCAAACGGGCTATACATTTGAGAAAGTTTTGGACAAATTTCCAAAAATTAATACTAGAAAACTGTTTTCTCTTAAATTTAAGTTTTTTTACAAAAACAGTGGGTTCAAAAACTAAAATTATTTTCGAAAAGTTTCCAAAAGAGCTCTTTTATACCTAAATAAATAGTATTTCAAAATTAGACCTAAAACTAAAATCCCAAACGCCACCTAATAAGATTTCTGACTGCCAACCCAAAGGTCGAAGCCATGTCGCAAAGGTGCTTTTTCAGATTTTCCTTTTGATTGATTCTAAGTTGTAACATGGTGGTTTATTAGAACCTTATCTGAATTTGTTTCCGAAACTGAACTGAAATGATCGCCTTTTTTTCACTGACAACTTCGTTTAGAGCGAATTGAATTTTTAATGGCTACTTTTTTGTTTATCAGTGATTCCTAAATTTTATCTGAGGTAAAACGTTTACTTTTGCGATTAGGCTCTATGAGCTGAATTTTATTGACTTTATTTGTATTTTTCCTTAACATGCTTACGGATTTTTCATTTTCAACCATTTTGTTGCAAAATTCACTT